CCCCTCGGTCTTGGTCTTGTCTTGGTCTCGGGTTAGGTGGTCTTGAACACAACACTGCTGTTTGGCTTTAAATGCTGCTGTTAAATGTGCAGCTTGTGGTTCGGCATCGTTTTGAGCTTCCATACCACACTGCTGCTTTTATAACCAAACAACCATCCAGATTTTAATAAGTCTGTTCTCTTTGAGTTCACTTCATGTTTAAATATGATATATATGCTAATTTATTTCTGAATTAGCCCACAACAGGAATGTCCAAAGTGTGGCCTGGGGGCCATTTCTGTCCCTCTGAATGATTCATTTTGCAGAGATTCACATTTCAAGAATGGATTCATTTCAGATTTTCACACACAAATAAAGTCGTCTTAAACATTTATTCATTTAGGTACAAGACATTTTTTTTATTTTTTATTAGCAAAGTTTCTGTTTTTATTGATTACACTCTGCGAAACCCAGGAACCATCGTCAAAGCTTTGTTGCCAAAAAAATAAAAGAATAAACCTAAAAACATTTAATACATTAATACTCTGATTATATTTGGATCAACAATAATTTACTGATTCTTTTCATACAAGAATTCCACTACTCTGCTTTATTAAAATATTGTCTAAGAAATAAAACGACAAATTTTCTTGAGAAATAAATATTTTCACTTTTAATTTTAAAAAATGTAACTTGACAATTTTGGCCCTGATGGCAAAAAGTTTTGACACCACTGCTGACTTCATTTTTACATATAATGTTCATAAAGAGCCTCAGAGTTTTCAACTTTTTTAACTTACTTCTGAGCTATTTGTCAAACTTCTAATTTTACCAAAACGGTGCAAAGCAGTGACGACCTGTGATTCATTACAAATTTCAAATAAAATTTAAAAGATTACTTTATCTTTATCTTGGTGCTTTTTTCATTCAAAAAGTGAATTTTATGTGCTACGATATTTGTCTGCAGGGCACCGATGTTTTCCTGGGCTTCTGGCCTTTTGGAAACGCTCTCTGTAAGACCGTGGTGTCATTCGACTACTACAACATGTTCATCAGCACCTTCACTCTGACGGTGATGAGTATGGACAGGTACGTGGCTGTCTGCCACCCCGTCAAGGCGCTGGACATGAGGACGCCCCACAAGGCCAAGGTAAGGCCGGCGGACTCCAGAGCGAGACGTTTACCCTTTCAAACACTTCACACCTCATTCCACGTCTGTGAAGTGACGGCACACATCAGGTCAGATGTTCAGAGTTGACTGAGTTCGATGAATGAGGATGTGCTTACAAAGAAACTGAGTTGGCTTGCTGAAGTCCTACTGAACAAGATATCAGGATCTGAATGAACCCAGGAAATCTAATGCACTCAGAACTCAATAAAAACATTTAATGCGTTTCAGATTTTATCTTTAACTTTGCAGAAACTCTGAACCCAGAATTCACTGCCACGTTGTTCTGTCTCTAGGTGGTGAATGTCTGTGTGTGGGTGTTGGCCTCTGCCGTTGGCGTCCCAGTGATGGTGATGGGGAACGTGGAGGTGGTGGGGGAGGACAACAGTAAGTACATGATTAACACCTGAATCCATAATCAGGTTTCCTGGACATCAGAGGTTTGAGACATTAAGTTTTTTAAGCCTCTGGCTGGTTGGTTGATCAAAGTTTAAAATCTGATCAAAATAAAGAGATGTATGTAATGTTGCTCTTTTTCTAATTGAGGATGCAGTGTGTGTGTGTGTGTGTGTGTGTGTGTGTGTGTGTGCGAACCCTGAAGGTTTAACAAATGGATAAAGCTAAGATAAATCAAACTTTATGATGGGAAATTGTTCAAGGTTGCATTGTTCACCAGCATTTCCTGAACATGTTTCCTGTTTTCTCATTTTTATTTCATGCTCGTCAAAGTTTCCTTTGCAATGGAATAAATCTGGGAACATTCATGCAATTTTCCCCATTTTTATATTTCACACTTTAAGAAATTGCATAAATTACTTTCGTATATCGAAAGAACTTTGGTTACTGCTGTAATGCAGCAAGACAGAGGATTCATGTTAGTGTGATCAGAATAACTGTAATGGCTGAACAAGAAGACCTGAAGTGACAACCAGGCAGGGAATAAATATAAAGATTTTATTCGGTTGTTCTTCTGCATTGCGAGGGAGAGCTTAGCGTTGGTGAAGATGCCAACAGAGGATGAGGTTGGATCACTAACTGAGGGAAACTAATCCAGTGTGTGATGGAGAGTCCTCCATCCTCTTCTGCTGTTTGGTGTCACTGTGCCAGAGTGTAATTCAGGACAGTTGAGTTCCCAGAGGTTCCACAAAGCGACAACCACAGGTTGACAGAGGTTGGTCCAGGGGCAGGTGAGCGTCACTGTATGAAGTCAGTCCAAAACGGACGGGTCCATCCAGAGTCCCAAGCCTGGAAGTCGATGCACACGTGGAATCAAGAAGGGGAGAAAATCTAAAAGGTAAAAACAAACGGTAGCATTTTAAGGAATGCTGGATGTGTAGACTCCTGGCCTGTGGACGTCAGCAGCTGGAAGGAGTTTTAAAAGCAGGAAGTGGTGGAGGTTGGCAGGCGCAAGTGAACTGGATGAGCTTGATTTGTTTGGAGAGCGTGAGAGAACAGTGAGATGGAGACAAAACGGCAGATCATTACACCAACGACTCTTCTGAGCCAAATTAAAACTATTCCAGGGTCTTCACAGCCATTCAAACGTTGGTGGATTGTATCAAATTTGGGAGATTTTATTGTTATGATGTTACTGCAGTTAGTAATCATCACCACTGTGGTGATTTCTGCTCCTCCACCATCAGTTTCAGTCCTGCTGCTGCTGCAGAGGAGAACACGGCATCAGGACTTCAATCAGCTGCATTCAGGAAACGACTTTTCTTTGTGGATTTCTCCATGTGCAGTCAGAAGCAATCACTCACAAAATCACAAAATTCTGTTTTTAGATTTCCATTAAGCTTTGATGCTACAGACCTGCAGTATTTTTTTTACAAGCTGAGCTGTTACTGTTGCATTACACCTTAATGTCTGAATATGTTTAGAATTAAAATAAACATTCATGTTTTGTTGCAAAACTGATTCTAAATTCAGAAGATATTCATCATTTCAAAATTGCACCTAAAACAGATTTAAATGTGTATTTAGAATCCAAACCGGCTAAATTAGGCATCTTAACTCCAACCACTATGTTTGCATTAACAGACATTGGCAACATGGGCCCCAGGAATGCCACAGAGCTTGTCTTGTTTTGTTTTGGAGGCAGATTCTCTGCCTCTCCACAGAGACCATCCGGGTCCGATCTGTGTTGGTGAGGTCTCGGTCGGGTGTGCAGGTCGTAGTGACCAGCTGTCAGACTGCATGCAGCTTCAGTCCAAACGTTCCTGCAGAATCAGTCTGCCTTCGTCAGGTTTCACTCCATACCGCTCCGTTTCACATGCGCCGCTCTTCTGGGTGAGCTACTTTGAATTTATTATGCCTGATCAAGATGCAAAGCGTTGCACAGATCCGTCCAATGTTTTATGTATGTGCTGCTGGAGAAGGTGGGTGTGGATCAAGTTTATTTGGCAGAGGGCTTGAGGATGTGTCAGCTGAGTGATCTTGTGTTGTCACTTTTGCAGCTCTGAGTAGGTTCACCACAAGTTCACCATTAAAACCGTCTTAGTGTGTGTTTCAGAAAATGCAGGCCACTTCTGGAAACTTCCTTTATTTATTCTCCATATTTTGTAAAGCAGCAACTCAAACCTTGTATTTTTTCCTGCTGCTGCAACCCTTCACACTTTGACCCAGATGCTGATGCAAACAGCAGCTTTCATTCTAATCTGTGACATGGTTATAAAGCAGATACTGTTGATTACACCCATAAATACAAATGGAATAATGTAGGATTCTCACATTGCTTCTCCATTCATGTTAGATAATTGTTTTTAATCAGAAGATCAACTTTTATGGTGAGAAATAATAAATACTTATTATATTACATCCACTTAAAATGCTATATTAGAGTTTTATACCTAAAATATTGATCAGCTTAAAAACTGTTATTTAATAATATGTTATGTTAACTTTAGCTTCCGTGTGGGGAGAGACGATCTGTGGATTTTTGTCTGTTTTGTGTTCTTGTTGGTAAAAAAAAGAGCTAAAAATACAGTCAAACAAATCATTCAGTCAGAAACAATACAATATAAATTACAATATAAATTATGCTCATATCAATAAACGATCATTCAAATGTTTTCTGAGTTTATTTGTTTTGTGTGTGAGACTCCTGAAGGGCTAAATTAATATTTATTCATTTTGATTTATCCACCAATTATTGCACATAAACAAACATTACAGACGAACAAAAAGAGGTTTTAATGTACAAAATAAATAACCAGAAAAGAGAATGAATAACAGCAATAAAATAAAATGCGTAGTTAGTGTTTCTCATCAAAATAAAAAATCTACATGATGCTAAATGTGGTAAAGTCAATCCGTTTTCAACCAAAATCTTTTCCATTAAGTTTTTGGATCAAAACATTCAGGCAGTTGAGCTCAACTGATCAGAACTCTGAATATGAAGTATTCAGTTTTATTTTTGATTGTTTGCTGGTTTGTTTTCCTGATGAAAAGCCTTTGGAAAGCGATAAAGACGAGTCGCACGTTGAGCACGTCTTGCTCTTCTGTTTGGAATCCACATTTTAATTCAGACATTTCATGCCTGTCCACATGTTTAAATATGAAATAAAGTTTCTCTCCCGTCATCAGGCTAACGCTGCAGCCAGCAGCCGATTTTTAAACGCATCACCAGAAGTTCAGTGTTCAGATTGAATTTGGTTTTAATTCATGCTGAATGGTTCATAAAGACGTTAGCCTGCTGATCAGAAGCTGTGTGTGTGTGTGAAGCTCTTCTGTGTCTCTATTACCACGTTGTGGATGATCAGAGGCTTTCATTTGCATCTCTCAGCTTGTTTCTTCTCAGATGGAAAAGCAGTGACCTGATTTATGCTCTAATCACTGATGGTTGGATTTGATTATGTCAAGAAGCTAATAGTGTTTTTCATGGGTCTGAAGTCTTAATAACGTCTGAATGAGGATTTTTTTCTTTCAGAGATGTGATGTTGAAGAACATCCCTGAAAAGTCTCATGTAAATATGGAAATAAGGGACAGAGTCATTAAATGAGTTTCACAAAGGAGGAATAATAATAATAAAACCATTTATTAGTGGGACTTTCTGCTGAGTTTGCAAAATAATTAGTGCTTACTGTAATATTATAAGCATTGAACTTAGGTTGTCCATCTATAACCATCTATCATTTACAATCCAGTCATTTTTATTCCAAGTCCAGCAGAATAAAAGCTGTGAACCTCAAATGTTCCCTGATTTCTTTTAATATTTATATTAATACAACATATATATTTCAATATATATCCATTAAATTAAATTTGTTCTAATTTCTAAAGGACCATCATTTCATTTCCATTTTTAGCTTCTAAAATAAAGAAAAACATAAAATTTAGGATGTTGATATTTGTGGACAAGCCAAAAACCACCTGAAGGAAACGTAAAAACCGAGGAAGTTACTTTAAATCAGTGTTTCCATCGACCTTTTCTAATGCAAAACTTTAAAATGTGCATTAAAAATGAAGATGGAAACATGGTGAGCAACCAAAGTTAATGCTTCCAGCTTTTATGTTTGGTCTTTTCACTAATTGATTAAAAACAAAAGTTGCTTTTTTAGTTTCTGACTCTCTGGTCAGTTGAAAAATATCCACTGCCAGGACGAATAAAACCTACAGTTTTTAGTTATTTTTTTTATCGTTACTCTTGTTTTTCCTTAAATAAAATCATTTTAAGCATAATGAACTCCTGCAAACTGTGCCTAAACCAAATTTTGGCAAATGAGGCGATTCATCATCGGGGATACGAGTTAAAAACTCACAACTTTTCTGCTAGATGACAGGCGGGGAAGTAATCCCTGAGCATTAATCCAAAAGCTCTCCCTGAACGTTCCTCCATCTTTCATTAGCGCCAATCAGGCCGTGTGAGGGAAGAGGACTGGAGGAAAGTCCCGCTTAACGCCTGCAGGCTTCAGGCAGACTGAAATGAATCAGGGATCCAGTGAGGGATCCACAGCGCCGGGACGAGGCGAATGTGACTTTCATTTACTCTGGGCCATTACTTAAGGCTTAAACAGTAAAATGAGCCTGAAAGGCCATCAGTGATGTGGTGTGTGAGAGAATCCAGCACATTAAGCTTTCATTTGATTACCTCTCAGCTGGCTGCTCTCTGCAGCCACTCAGGCTTCTCTGAACGTCTTTTCATGTCGAAATAAAACCCAGAATGACGCCTTTGTTACCGGCAGCTGAGCTTCAACATCCAGGAGACGTTAACAAAAGAAGTGTCAACTTTTACATCAGAGCATCACAAAATCAGAAACTAAAACAGGAAGGCTGAAGTATCAAACGGCGGCCATGTTTGATCCGTTTCCGTGACCTTTCTCTGTCTGAATCGGTTCGTTTCAGTCTCCTTTGAAATCCGAACCTTTGCTCCTTTCAGCTGCTCTGA